GGCAAAATATTAAGAAAAAAGATACAAATAAGTCCCTCAACAAAACTAAAACAAAAACTATAAACAAGCTTAACAAAACTTAACTCTTTTTTTATATCTTTTTAACACTATTCAAAGCATAAATATAACTTAAGCAATACTTATAGAAAAAATGACATTTACAATTTACCAGACTCTGAAATACATAAAAGATGAAAACTTTAAAATATTTAAACAATTCAATAAACACTAAAAATCATTGAAGATATGCTCAATATTTTCATGAAAGTTTGCTAGTCTCTTCAAAATACTATGCTATCATTCAGTAAACATGTAATGTCTGCAAATATTTTTCTAAAGTGAGTCAGCAACCAATAAAATAAAATTAGTTTATATTAAGAACTGTTTGAATAAATATAAATTTGTAAAGAAGATGCCTGAGAAAATTCGAAATTGTGTAATATTATTGTCAATATAATATAACATTGAGGAGAAACATCTCATAAATGTATGTACATGATTAAGCTCATTTATAGATATATTTCCACTTCAAATGTAAATAATCGAGTACTAAACCAATGATATTATAAACATCTGATAAGTAATCTAAATACAAAAGTATAGAGGAATCAACAATAAGACCAGTACCATTCATAATTTAAGTATCGAACATATTTGTAGCAGATGCTAGCTTACAACATATTTATTTTGTTAGCATTATTTTGAAGTTCATTCTGACAAAAAAAAAACTAATCGTGATGTGAATACACCCACATAATTTCACAGACTAAAAAAATGATGTCAAGTTTGTCTGAATTTGCATTCCTATATATTCTTTACTTATTATTCAGTGGAAGCTGACGCACGTTCGTCACTTTCTTTCAGTAGAAGCTGACGCAATTCCAGTGTATCTCCCTTTTTTTTACATTCATCGCTGAAATAGAGAAATATATATTACAAACGATGTTAAAACTAAAGAGAAAATGGACACGATTCAAACTGTTCCATTATTTGTTATGCACATGCATCATCATCATCATCATAATCATCATCATAATCATCATCATCATCATCATTATTATAAAAATAATAATAATAATTATAATAATAATAATAATAATATAATTATTATTATTATTATTGTTGTTGTTGTTGTTGTTGTTGTTGTATAGATATCCGATGATACACTATTTACCTTGCTATGTGTCGCATTAATGAATATCTTGATGATAACATAAGTTTTGACATTTACATTGTTCCCTTTTATATGAAAAATTGAGCAATATTTTAAAGGTGATCTTTGAGAAAAATGTTAATGTGAAAGCATTTTGTTAATAATAGTATTAGATAAAAAATTCTTAAGTTATATTTGAATTGTATTTAAAGGCCCATTATGTCCAAGAAATGTATTTACTTTTATTTCTCAAAAAGTCATGGTCCCGAAACGTTATTCATTGTCCAATTACCTAAACAATCTTTTACTTCTGTTGCATTTTTTTTGGCAATAAGTAGGACTTTAGTGATTTAGTATTATCGAAAAAAAACCAGCGAAATATTTATTACTCAGTACTTTCAAAGTATTAATGTATCACCGAAAGAAAGTAGAACAATGCTTGAGACATCATTCGGAGAAAAAACCTTGTCGCTACAGTCGTGTATGAAGGGCATAAAAGATTCAAAGAGGGCCGCACGATGATCATAGGTCTGGAAGACCGAGCGTCTCTTAATTGTGACGAGATTGAAGAAATGCTTGATGGCGACCGTTGTATGTCAGTGCGAGAAAAAGCTGTTAACGGATCAGCAGATGAAAACTAGATTCCGTGTTTCGAGGGGATTGCAGCAGAAGGACGTAACTAAAAAATTAAAGAACGTCAACGCCGTTATCTTCATAACGTCTTTGTCACGCGGGCCAATGCGACCATGATGTATATTCACATTGTTTTAAAATTTTGCACATTGGATACAATTGCGCATATTAGTAGAAATATGGAAGGAAATTGAACGGTTTGTTTTCTTTTTGAAATCTATCTACATTTTTTCCAAATCAACAATCGCAATGGGAACTTTACAGATACACCTTGTATTATGCAAATTATGTCACTTCAAAATATATGCACATTCGTGCAATATAATTTTTACGGAGTCGCAAAAGCGTCAATGATATGAGATAAACAATATTTACATCATAAAACGTATGCCTTCTAGTTCCTCTTTCCTTTTCTGATAGCTTCTTCTTTCAATTGCATCATAAATTGCAGGTCCAATAACTGGCAAAAGACTAGCTGCTCCACGTGCAATACTTTTTTGAACTGTAGGTTCATTGGCAGTAACTTCTACATTTAATAACGACAGTAAAATCTCCACTCGATCCTGTTCTTTTCGCATTTCTTCTTTCAGTTTTGCATGATCGTTTTGCCATTTTTTTATGTTTTCTGACATTATTTTATTCCTTTGTTCCTCAAAATCACGCTGTCTTTTAAATTCATCATTCAAGGCCTTGTATTTCATTTTCTCTTCCAAATGTTTTCTTTGAAATTCTATCTGACTTTGTATCATTTCTCTATGGTGTTCCTCTGTTGTCATAAGAAAAAAGCCAAGCAATTTATAATTTAATAAGCGTTGCAACAAAATATATAAGACACATTTGAAACATGCAGTTTACATGCGCTTCTGTAAACATCAAACAATGTCATTTGACATCCAATAACGTTTTGATATCAAATATTCTTGTAATTGTTATTAAATATTAAGAATTTTGAATCAGCCTCTTCAACAAAATGTACACTTAAAGTGATATTATGTGTAAGTGTAAATGGTGAGTCCAAATGTAAACTCAAAATAATTTGACATTTTGCAATGATTGTTTTCAATTTCATATATGACAACGCAAAAAAATCAATAATCCACGTGACCCACGGATATTATTTATAAATATCGTTCGGAATATATCAAAAGTGTTCAATTTTTAAAACGAGTATAGCAGTCTTTAAATAATTTAGTTTTTTCATATTTCATATCAATTTTTTTGTTATCAATAACTATTATTGATACAAATAAAAGTCAATCTGTAGAAATACATTACTAATTCAGAATAACTTTACAGCGAAAAACAATTGCATAATGTCACTTTAACAAAGATTTATTTAGGAAAAAGATCTTGATTTTGAGATCAGGTATACCACCTTCTTAATTATATTACTTCGCATCTGAACTCCATATAACACAGAGCACTCATAATCAAGATATATTTCCATTCTAAAAGGTCAAGGTCTTTGAACTATATTTTTGGTGGTTGAATTTGTTTCTAATAGCAATGTTCTTTTAAGGCTTTCTCAGTCGATTGAAAAACACTGTCGTTAAATCTACCGTTTGCACACACATTTTGAGGATAACAATTTTTATCAAAGTTCAAAAAGTTTTTTTTTGTGTTTATTTTATTTATTGTTTATATTGTCTGAGTAATAGAAAGAGCATCGAAACACGAGGCTATCTGATTTGTACGAGGGAAGCGTAGCCCCGAGTATAAATCAAATTGCCGAGTGTTTTGATGTTCTTTCACTTTTGTATCATAGACAAATTTAAAAACAGTTCCCAATGAATGAGCATCTGAATATGATATTTCTATCGCCATCCCTTTCTCTGCCGTTACAATAAGAGGACCCAAGAAACTACTGCTGATGTCGTACATAACATCCGTAATATGATAACATTGGTGAATCCTCAAACACAAAGAGAAATTGCAGCTAAGTGTTGGGTGGCTACGGAGTAATAGCAAAAATTCTAAAAGCAGAAAGGAAAAAGTGCCGTGCTCAAAGCCTAAGTGAGGCATATATTTTGAAACTACTTGCTCGATCATTGCGTATATATCTCCGCCTTAATTAATTGTCGAAAATGGAAAAGCATTATCACCACAGACGAAGCTATGTTTTATATTGGTGGTAGTAACGGTACACGTCGTGTTGCTACGTTCGAACAAATGAGACAGGCCTTAGCAAACTGAAGTTTGTAAAACGAGATGCATTTGCACCTGGGTTTATGGTTTGGGCTATGGTTAGTAACTCCGGTAAGGCATCATTATAGGGGTAAAAATCAATGCAAAATATTACATAGACAAAGTTCTAAAGACATTTCTCACAAAAGGTGTTCCGCGATTATGATATGGTAGAAAATGATAAGGTATTCCGTTAAGACTCGGCCTCTAGTCATACCTCTTAAATGACTATAAACTTTTTCAATGGATGCCATAAACCCAGATGCAGTAGATAATTTTTAGAGGAAATACTCAAACAAAATTTGTTCTTATTACATGTATTCAGATTTTTTTTAAAACAAAATAGCCCCGTCAATATGTCGGTTTGCAAATACGGAGGGAGGAAAGAATGGCGAGTGAAATATACAGTGAAATAAACCGAGCTTCTGGCCTTCATGTTTTGTTCAGCGCCTTTTGAAACTTTAAGTTTAATTTGTCAATTCAGATCTGTATTATACCTTGGATGAGTCGGTGCATTAAACTTGTAAGTTTGACTAAACTAAAAATACATACCTTTTATTTTTTTTCTACTTTTGTCACTCATATCCATTACAGCCAAGTCATCTTCAAGATATTTGTCTTTTAATTCTCTTAAAATTGCATTGACCTGTAAAACAAAATTTGTCATATTTTTCATCAAACTAATTAGGTTGATCAACATCTGTCTCAATTTGCCGCGCCACTTTATATACTTTATGTTTTGCTACTATTTTTCTGTTGCGACTTCATTAAAGAAATAATGAGAATTCGCCAGCGAACTCGTCAGAGAGCGAAGGTAGTTACCTATGCCAATCATCAAAGCTACGTCTCCTTGCAACATCTACATTAAGATGATATTTGTGCGGTCCACTGTAAAGTCATTATTTACTTCATAGGAAGAGCATGAAATGATATTTTCAAATGATTTCTTTTATGTTGATCTGTCATCTTCTTATCTTCCAATGTTCAAACAGATAGCAATGTCACAAGCAAGATCAAATTTCTTTTTACTAATAATATAGTCTGAATGAAAGTTTAAATGGTCGCAAGACATGTACACACATGTCAAAATAAACATTTCACTAGAATTTTGTCCATAGGACACGGATGCCCCACACTCCACTGTCAGTCTACTGACACACAGCAGAATAGTATGACAAAGGGACAGACAAAAGAAATTCTACATTACTCGCCCTAAATGGTTGGCGGATTAAAACGAAATCCAATTTTCCCAATATTATTAAGAATTTCAAATCATCTCAATTTTATATCCTTAAGTATGCTTAAAAGAAAACAAGCAAAACCCGAGATGAACAACATTATATGCTGACCAACAGTCCTGTGAAGTTTCATGAGTCTAGTTCAAATAAGTTTTGGCTACGTGCGACAGAAATTTGAACTAAATCAAGGACAATAACTCTACAAACAATGAATAAATTCACAAGCAAAATTCCAGGTACACAATTACACATGTTCATCAACATTTCTGTTAAGTTTCAAGATTCCAAGTCATATATTTTTGGGGCTAAAAGCCACACAAGATGAAAATTGCAAATGTTTACTAAGTCAAGGGCATGAACTCTACAACCTCAAGCTAATATCCATTTGCACAACTGCATATGCTGACCAACATTTCTATAAAGTTTAATAACTCTAGGTCAAACATCTTTTGGGCTACGGGCGACATAAATGAAAATTTTTATTAAGGACAATAAATTGAAGGCCAAGAATTAAACAAATAAAAAGGGTATCGTGTAGGACAAATTTCAATGATCGGAAATATATCATAATAGATCAGATTTAACGTTGTGATTATGATGGTTTATTTTTCTTCACTTATTTATTTTTCATTTTTAAAAAAAAAAATCTTGAAGGAAAAATAAGAAGGAATTTTTGTTACTCTTACAATGACTTGTATTTTGCCTTGTTGAAATAGAGGTTATTATTATTATTATTTATTAATTTGATTAATTGAATTAGCAATTTATTTTCAAAGATTATTTACAATTAGAGAACTTTAACACATTCAAATAAAACTTGCTCATACACATACCGACATACGGAACAGTCGCTGCCTTCTTGGCCAGGTGAAGCAAAGATGGCTTAATCTTTAGCCGGTGTTTCGATATCGGGGATGAAAGAAAATTGACCAATCATTCATCTTATGTTAAACAATATCACTAAAATATTTAGATAATGAATGGACTTATCGATTTCTGTGAATATGTGTTTATTTAGAATTTTTGTTGTTTTGGTCTATCTTTAGGGATTCTTATTTTCTATATTTTATGGCTCTATATTATCGCCACATCAGGGTTGTTTGTGCCTTGTGGAGGCCGTAAAACGTCGCACGTACATTCAATCAGAGATGTTATATTTCCGATCCTGCACGACATTATTGTTGTGTTTGTGGTACTTTTAGTTTTTACTTTTCGGCATTTTTCTAGTTGGGTGGTTCCAATATTCCTACTACTTGAATAATGTTAAACACCCTTAGGATATGTTGGTTGCTTTTAACATTTGTCTTTTGACATCTTATCTGTGATTTGCAGGCTTCATAACATCTAATCCCCTTGCAAATTCAATATTGATTTGTTCCGCCCATTCTTGTTTAGGGCGCACGCTTCCTTTTACTTGGGGACCATACGCGTATTTCATAGAATGTCATGAAAATGTCACATTGAAGGTTCCATCATAACCGACGTATTAACACATCTGCGAATGTTTCTAAATTCAAAATGTTACCATTTTTATGTTAATTTGTTGTCAATTTAAAAGCATTTGATATATTTTAAAGTCGTAAAATGCCATAAATTGTTACAGTATTGGCCTTCAATATAAAACAATAATTTATTGAGTATAACGAGATATAGGAGTTTATATTTGCCAGGTATATTACTGTTGTAATGATGAACTTCAGTAGATAATGCGGATATTTTCCACTTTCTGGTACTTATTTAGCGTTTAGGCGATTTTCTATCACGCAGCCTCTCTTTGTTTCACCAGTGTGCCAACTGCGACATTAAAAATCATGGTGCCTACAAATGTTAAAAACCATTTGCCCTCAAGCAACAAGGTGACTCATCCAAATCCCAAACAACTTCATCCTCCAAATCAAAGTGATTTCAACCTGCCCACCCAAGTCTCTGCTTCCCGTTTAGCCTCATATCTGTCAAGCTGTGATGAATTTAAGAGAGTTAGGCTAATTGAGGGGTTCACTAATGGTTTTCGTCTAGGTACGGTAGGGCATATTCCGGCACGTTTGTCACCAAATCATTCTCCAACTAGAGATCACACTAATTGTGTCAGGAATAAAATTTCTTTAGAAGTACAAAATAATATAGTTAAAGGTCCTTATATATCACCACCGCTGCCCAATTTTGTGTGCAGTCCTTTAGGTGTTGTGCCTAAGAAAGCTAAGGATAAATACCGCCTGATTCATGACCTGTCCTTTTCAAATAGTTGCCCCTCTGTTAACTCACTTATTCCTCAAGAAAACTCCACAGTATGCCTTGAAACATTGCCGCTTTAGTCCCTCAATCTGGTAGAAAATCACTCATAGCTAAAGCGGACATTGAGGAAGCATTTAGGATCATACCTATTTACCCTTTAGATTACTCTAAACTTGGTTTCTCTTTTGAGGGTTATTTCTATTTTGATAGGGTACTGCCTATGGGTGCCTCTTCCTCTGTGGCTATTTTCGAATCACTGTCTCAGAGCATCCGGTGGATACTTAAAAACAAATACAACATGTCCAGGGTCTCACACATAATTGATGATTTTATTTTTGTGGAGGCCCCAATTCAAACGAATGTCAAAATTCCCTTGAGGCTTTCTTCAGCTTATCTAGAGATATTGGTATTCCCATCAAAGCTGATAAAACTGTATTACCCACAACCAGCATAGAAGTGCATGGTATTCATATTGATACTCGCACCTTTATTGCTAGTCTCCCATTGGACAAGGTTACCTGTCTCCGTAATATCTTACAGCATTACCAAAAGCGTAAGAAAATTTCACTTAAAGAGTTACAATTAATTCTTGGTTACATTAATTTTGCATGTTAAGTTTTATCAAACCAGGCAGATGTTTCCTGCGGAGACTTTATGATTTGACATTAGGGGTTAAAAAAGGTTACCGCATGATCAAATTAACAAAGGAATGCCGTGCAGACATCAAACTTTGGTATGACTATATCCAAGACTATAATGGCTGCACCCTTCTTACCAATGATAGGTTTGTTTCCTCAGTCACTTTGAAACTTTATACGGATGCAGCTACTTCCAAAAGGTTTGCATTCATGCACAAGCAGTCTTGGACATTTGGGGCTTTCTCTCCAGGAATTAGACAACATCATATCAATGCCCTTGAAGTTGCCCTATTGCCCTTGCTGTCTTTTTTTTGGGTCAGAGTGGCAAAACCAGAATGTGTGTTTTGTTTGTGATCTTAGCTGTGGTTTACTGCCTCAATAAACAGACGTCCAAAGACCCTATGATGATGAAACTCATTCGCATTATTGTACTACAAGCGCTAGAATTTAACTTTTGCTTCAGGTCAAATCATATTTCTACATCAACGACCATTGTATGTGATAAACTTTCGAGATTTCAGGTCAAGGGTGCTCTAGAAATTGCGCCTCACCTGGACAAATACCCTACAGCTATACCTCTAGCAATGTCTCCCAAGAAGCTGCTTCTATCAGACAACACCTTCTGACTTCCTCACTGGCGGGGAAAACCAGACAAGCCTATGAAAAGTTTAGGGACAAGTTCCGCAAATTTGCTTGCATCACTATAGGTCACAATGACTATTTTCCATCATCATCAGATACAGTTCGTAGCTCACTTGTATGCCTGTAACTTGGCACCTTCTACAATACACAGTCACCTATCTGCCATCAGTTATTTTCACCAGGTGTCTGGTTTTGACGATACATGTAACTCGTTACCATGCAGCTTCATGCTGATTTCTGCGACGGTTATATAATGCTATCATCTTGGCCACCTTCAATGGGGTTTTTAGGATGGGTGAACTACTCCCTTCAAAACTTGTAAAGACAGATCACGTTCTTCAAGTTGAGCACATTACTTTTGATAGAGCTTCAGCTACTATCAAACTTTACTGTTACAAAACAAGGTGACAAACCTGTCACTATCATTCTTCAAACTAAACAAGAAACATGACAAAGCCACGAAACCAGGTTTTCAATTATCACCATTGTAGATAAATATGTTGTAGTTGAAATACAAATACAAGCAACAAACAATGTTACTGCAATGTAAATCATGAATAATGTAGGAGGTATTACGCTCAGAAGAAATTGTTCACTATATATTCTGTATAAGGAAAAATCAAAGGGCCATAATTAGGTCCAATTTTATCCAATCACAAAACCCCGACAATATGCGCCAGGGCACTTGATGACAAAGCTTCTGTGAAAGTTTGGTCAAAATCCGTTGAAAAATGTAGGAGGAGTTGCGCACAGAAGAAATTGATCACTATATATTCTGTATAAGGAAAAAAACAACAAAGGGCCATAATTAGGTCTAATTTTATCCAATCACAAAACCCCGATCATATGCGCCAGGGCACTTGATGTCAAAGCTTCTATGAAAGTTTGGTCAAAATCCATAGAGAAATGTAGGAGTTGTGTACAGAAGGAGCTGTTCACTATATATTCTATATAAAGGAAAAAAAAACAAAGGGCCATAATTAAGTAAAAAATTATCCAATCACAAAAGCCCGACGATATGTGCCAGGGCACTTAATGACAAAGCTTCTGTGAAAGTTTGGTCAAAATCCGTAGAGAAATGTAGGAGGTGTTGCGCATAGAAGAAAATGTTCACAATATATTCTGTATAAGGTAAAAAAAAAAAGGGCCATAATTAGGTCTAATTTTATCCAATCACAAAACCCCGATAATATGCGCCAGGGTACTTGATGACAAAGCTTCTGTGAAAGTTTGGTCAAAATCCATAGAGAAATGTAGGAGGAGTTGCGCACAGAAGAAATTGTTTACGCCCGCCCGCCCGTCCGCCCGCCCGCCCGCCGACATACTTCAATCTAATAACCAGTTTTTTCCTTCGGAAAACCTGGAAAAACCCATTGCCCTTTACGAGCTCTCGGTTTGTATCTTGCATACAGAGGCCGTGCAAAAGGCCCTCTATTCATCTCGTCTACAAACAAACCAATCACACTCGGACACTTTCGAACAGTGTACTTTCTCAAACCTATCACCTAAACTATACACACTGCACAGCTTTAGGATTGGCGCATGTACCCAGTCTATTCTCTCAGGCACTCCTGACAATGAGGTTATGCAAATGGGTAGATGATAATCACAAGCTTTCAAACGGTATATTAGACTCCTGAATGTTAATATGCATCCATAAATATATCTAACATTAAGTTACTTTCAGTATAACATTGGGGTGTGTTTTACTGTAATGTAACTGTTATGCATACACCATGATACAGTAGCATATACTTAGTGTTTCGTCATTATGCTGACATTATACCTTACATTGGTTTTCTTTTACTTTTTGCACGTACAATTATGACTGTTAATTATTCTGTGCATAGGTTAAAACTTGCTATTATTACGTGCCTTAGTTAACATGTCTTAGAGTTAGGGTCTCTGTATTTACAATTTTTTACCTTTTATGCCTTTATATATAGAAATGTTTGTAATTATGCTTATGTCATGAACAATTGATCTCCTTTTGTTACAAATTCAATTATCAACAGTTTGTGCTAGACATTGGGATGTGTCTACTTTGTCTTTCTTTGTAAATTTATTGGTGTGTTTTGTACTTTCATATTATAACATAATTATATCATATCGTCATTAGACCTTCTTAGCTTACTTTATCTTATTCATCAAACATTGGGGTGTGTCTGATTTCTGCCATTCATTACCTTTTAGCAAACCATTATATACTTCAGTGCCTCCATTTTATTCATAATTACTTGTAGTTTCCAATCCAGTCCAGTATTGTCCATTATCCTTAATTTTCTCCTACTATTAAAAACATTGACATAGGTCTATTTGATAATCTTTTTGTCAAGTTACCATATCAGCTACTTATGATAACATGTTATCACATTATTATGAACCTTACATGTTGTATAGTATATTGAAAACAAAAATGCTATTATCTATTGTTTTAGTCAAATACATCCACTTAGCATAAAAGACATTGGGTGTGTCTTGTAATTTGTGTCATTATGTGTGCATGTTATTGTCTACCTGTTTAAGGTGTCTCGCACTATTTCGCTTATATTCTCGGATGGTTATCTCTGATATAACTTTTTACAATTTTAATTTATAGTAATGTTTAGCTTATACATTGTTCCTCTGTACAGTTTGTAACGGTTTTATTTCTTCGCTTCCCTGGCTGCTTGGTTGGACTGGTGATGGACTTTGCTTTGTCCTACTTTATGCCACTGATTTTTATGTATATTACCTACTTTCTAGTCAGTAAACATTTTGTTAATAAAACGTCTGGCATTGGTTAAATGCCAGACATTTTCAATCCACTTGCTCTTGTGTTTTCTGTGGCATAAATAAACTGCGCAGCCAGGGAGCGCAAATATAAAATGGCGTCTAATGTAACCAGAATAATTGAAAAATCAAAGAAAAGTTACCAAAGAATCATCCATTTCAGGAAACCTTTGTTTTATCTTTGATTTTAGGTTATGTACGTCCTTTTTATAGTGGAGATACCCATCTTCATCCTCATAATGTCCGACGTTCAATCGTGGTTTAATTTCTGAATCATACATTTCTTCCATTGCGGAGATACACATACGCTTTTGGATTTGGATGTTTTTGTCATAATGTTCCTCACACAGATTGTCCATATTTTTCTGTACAAATAAAATGTATATTTTAGAGAAATTACTTAAATATGTTAATCCATATGCTGGTAGATAAAAAATAAATTAAGAATACCTTGCAGTCCATACGTTAAAGGTCTATGGCCAACGATATATATTTGACCCAAGCCAAGCACACGTCATCAGTGAAAAGGTGCAATTACCGATCGCGTTTCGAAAAAAAACACGACAGAATCATGTTTGTTTCATATAAGGAGATTTTATAACACTTTTTTATCGTGTTTATTGTAATCTACGTATCAAAATCCATTGAAAACAGAAAAATATGCCTTTTCTTGGCCATAGACCTTAAAGGCAAAATTATATGAATATTGGGTGTACGAGGACTTACATACGTAATAAGGACAAAAAAGATGGCAGTAACTTCTATAAAACATGTGGTATATTGGATAAATCCAAGGAATTTGTTAGTTTTTGTTTAAAAAGATATATTTATGTTGGAAAAAGTGATATTCTATGTTGGATATAAAAATGTAAGAAGTGTTTATTTTTTCTCATTAAATCAATTCACTTCATACATTGTACAAGGGCTAGGGTCGTCGAATTCAACATCGTTTTTGGACCTAAAAAGTAATTTAATGGTGGATGTGGCTCAAGAATATAATGTTGAATAGCAAATGGATCACCATCGAAAATCTTTTTGTTAAGTTCATTCATAATATGTACGTAAATGAGAAATACAGCAAAATATCGTTTTCATGAATTATGAATATTTTACAAAGGGATTATATATATATTTAATACCTATGTTACTATATATAGTAACAAAATCTAAGGTATTTCAGGGCTATTATGGCAAGATCTAGGTCATTATGCAATTTCGACCGCCTTGCTACTCGGCATTATTTTTCCATAACAAGGGACAGGACGTGAAGTGGTTGCACACTTGGTTCAAGCGAGCGAATTAGTTGCCAAAACTTGACAAAATGGCGAACACGGCGTGATTTTTTGAAACGGTGAACGAATTTTTGCCAGGCAAGTGGCTTTCTTTGTAATTTTGAAGTTCATTAGTACGTCTATTCCATAATGCAATATATATGCCACACTTGGTTAAAGGTCTCAGCATCCTAGATTCTGTTTTGACGAAGTTATTGAAGATATAAACTGATCATGTAGATATTTTGAAATTTGACATGTGACTGTTGTGGTCGGTTTTTCTCCTACTTTATTCGAATTTGTAAGTTTTGAACTGCATTTAACAATAACAAAATATGTTTCTGTCAATGCTGTACAAATGGTTTAGTTCGCAAGTCCGAAGATAACGTTCAATACACAAAAATATCTTGTTCAAGCACATTTTGGTTGCAGACTTATACTTCAAGCATTTCTGGTTGCAAACTTTTGTGTCAATAATGTGGCATGCATATTTTTAGCGAGGAATAACTAATCATTTTTTGAAATATTTAGCAATACCCGTTCATTTAATGAGAAATATATATACAAATTGTGCATGCGTGCAGATATATCCTAACACAGGGTCTTTCAAATAGATATAAAACACAATATAATGTATGCTAAATTGAAGTTCAGTTGTGTTTATCTTTATCATTTTTTCTCCTCGATATACTTCTTTTCTTTTTACAAAGTTTTAGGACTTTTTTTATATCTTGGCATGACTATATAGCAACAAACAGCTTTCATTATTTTTTTTTTGAGATTTGAAATAAATTTGATTATATAGTAGATAAAATCTATATTAACATTGACACAAGGGCATTATTTACACGTTTCTTTAAATTGTTCCTTATTATTGGCATCTCAAAACATCTTCCAAATTCCCTAACTCGAACAATGACTTTAAGTAGTTTTGTCACGTATCAGTCAATGTAAATAACCAATCGTATATCATTTATATTATGATCTAATAATCAAAATCATCTTTAGAATACCAATTGACATATGATATGCATCAAATCCGGAATATTGTAAACAAGCATGTCATTTTAACTTTTCTTTTGTAAAAATATTTTAAGTACATTTACATACGTTATGTCTAAAGCAACTGCTGATCTTTACATACGAAACAAACAAAATTAACATTTCTTGTGGTTTTGATAAACTTTGGAAATTTTGCCGAGTAACATCGTATGTGTGCACGTGTCCTTACGTTTATGATGAAAATAATTCACTGAATTACATACAACAGTACTCTCATATACGTTTGTTTTGTATGTAGTTTTCATTTGCATTTTACATATGATGACATATTTTAGAATTGAAGCATCACTAAATATTTTTCTTTATGCTATTATTTTGTTTGCAGGCTTTTACTGATGATTATAGTATTGAACTGAGAACCATGTAATTTGAAACATAAAGTGCATCATTGTTGTAAAAGAAGAAAGTATAGATAACATTTATAACAAAAACAAGTAACAGAAAATAAATGTCAATAATTGCCATTGAAAAAAGGTTAATAAATATAACCTTCTACACTCCTTTTGCAAAGTTTTACTATGGATTTTAATTGAATAAGAATAAGTTTGCAACCAAAAAGGCTTAAAGTATAAGTCTGAGTGTGACATATATATTGCATTATGGAATAGACATGCTAATGAACTTCAAAATAACAAAGAAAACCACTTGCCTGGCAAAAATTCGTTCACTCGTTTAAAAAAATCACGCCGTGTTCGCCATTTTGTCAAGTTTGCAACTAATTCGCTCGCTTGAACCAAGTGTGCAATCACTTCACGTCCTTCCCCTTGCATAATGGGCGAGTGAATGAGCGCACGTACAGAATGACGTCATCAACTCTCAGTGACTTCTAAGATGGATGCTGTCACTTGCACAAAACCTTTCAGTTTAAATGACTAATCAGTCTCAATCATTGAAGATTTATAAACTCAAGAAAAGAATACAATAATTCTACCAAAGACAAAGCAAAACCTCTTAGAATTTCCAATATCTTGCCTTTTGATAAAGTGACACTAACTCGGTGATATATCTGCTGTAAATGAAACATTTTTCTTACACGTATTAGAGTCATGAGTGAAGAATATGTATTGAATTATTCTTTTTACAATATCATTTTTGCCTTTTATATACAGTTTCAAATAGCATAAATAACAATTGTATGAAATTTAAAAAAAAATTGTCAAGATAAAAATAAAAATACCTTAATTTCGTCTTGCAAGTCTTTTTCAATCTTTAAGACGCATTTTTTTCGAAAATCTTCAGCAGCCCTTTCTCTCTCTCCTGTTAATAATTTCTGGAGGTTTTTCTCGTCATATACAGGAAGTTTAATTGAAAGTATTCTCGACTGAAACTTCTTCATTACATTTTCCATAGCAACTCTGTTCTCATGTCTTGACATAATCGCCAATGCACTGTCTATACATGGTATCCCTCCGGTATTGAACGTGGTAACGTATGTTTTGACAAGGGAGGAAAACACTGAAATTAGATTTTTTTTTAAATTTTCATACTGAAAATTGTTAATAAAAGTTACATAATTTTATTACTTTATTTAGTATGAACAAAGAACGTGTGGTGGTAAAATTTATATATTGTATAAATAAATTTAATCAATTAACTTGTCGTAAATACTCGTTAGAACACCAGCAAAATCAAGAAACGAAGAAAGTATAAAAGCAAACACTTATTATAAAATTTAGAAATAACATGTGCGTTTTTATGTTAAACTGAGATTCAAAAAAAGTAAAAACGGTTATTTCACAGGGGTCTTAATTTACCAATTTGTTTCGAACCGGCTTTGTAGTATTCGCCATATAAACGTGAGAATGAACATATAATTGAATGGTTCCGACTATAACCATGCTGGTTCTCACGTTCAAAGTCCTGCACATTTAACATATCAACTAGTAGACAGTCACTGTTAACTTGCCGAAATATTTTGTAAATGGAGTAAAACGGTGATAGTTTTGCTGTTTATTTCGCATATTGTGTTGTTTATATTGAAATTGTGAATGAACGTGAGGAAAAATGCGTATTAATTGAAAATGTTGGAAATGGATAAAATGCAAGACGATTGACAAATATACAATTGTATGTATATAATAGCCGTTGAAATGTGATTTTTAGTTGCATTTCAACGGCTATAATATACAAACTCTTATACTTATAACTGATAGATTGAGATATATTGATGAAATAAAATGCGTATTTTCCGGTTTTTTTTTCACTGTGAAAAAATATTTTTCACTGATATTAGATGTCCTAGTATTGTTCTTGTTCTGCTCTTCTTGCTCCGTCACAGGCTCTTTTACGTTTCCTCATGGATTTTCTTAAATCATTGCACATCCAAGATGGGTCGGAATTGATTGATGAGGGATATGTTTTAAAGAGTTTAAAGATTTTATCAGTAACATTTGAATCGTAAATGTTAATATTTTCATGGAATTAAAAGTACATACTATTTTGTAAATTATTGTAATCTCCCTGATCGAATTTCCAAATGGACATTTTGAAGCATTTACTATGGCGTTTAGAACCTTTTAAACAGCAGCAGATAGGACAGTGATACCTTACATTTAGATAAAGATAGTCTTAGATAACTAAGTCATTACTATCTTCAGATCAAGAATCGTTGGCTGGTGGACATGAAGAGATTGCCCTTATACAAAAACAAAACATTTCCTTATTTTTGCCTTTTATAAACTATAAAACGCTTGTCTTCAGTACTCTCAGTGTTGTGATTAACCAAAAAAAGACCCAATAACGCCACATTTATTTTTAACATAAAATGGTTTTGGTAAATGTGTATTCAAATATCGCATTTTTATTGTGATTTAAATATTGTATGTATTAAATATTTCATCATCAACTGTACTCGATAGATTGAACTGAAAAAAAACGCTTGTTATATTATCATAGTTCTTTTATTTATTTTTTAACAAGAAGAGTTTTATTATTTTTCCCCTCCATCCGGCCATTTTGTTTTGTTAATCATCCAAATGAAATAAAACAATAACAAAATTATTCTAACAGTTATAATCTCAAGTATGTTTCTGTCAGAAGTAAAGATTTAAAATAGAGACAATATTTTCCTCCAAAAAGAGAAACAATACCAACTAAGATATATTTGGCCATGTTTACACTAGTTGACATATGTTTACAACAATAAAACAACTTCTCTATTTAAAGCAAATAGAAAATTGATCAAGTACAGAATAACTTAATATAACTTACTGTTGCCATTTATTCTACTGCCATCGAGGAGTATTTTTGGTTGATATTTTGTTATTTTTTCTATAAATGCATCTGAATCTTCTTTAAACGACTCAAGCAATTCCCGTTCACCCATACTCTCCAATTTAGCAAGTTTTACTCTTCCTGCGACTGGCGCATCAAAGACAAAACATTCGCGTTGGGGGAAGAATGTTCGAATACATGCACAAATTTGGTTGTATGTATCACGTTCATCGGGACGATATTCGTCATAGCTCAACGTAAGGCGTCTCTCTAAGTAGGAATTTGGACTTTCCTTGCCCAAGTTGTACGAAAAGTCTCTCAAGCAAAGTACAAACTTCGGAAAATAGAGTCCAATATCAGCATTGAATGCATTTTGACGTTTGTCTTTACTTACTGAAACCTTTTTAGCATAGAATGTGACGAACCTACCAAAGTTATAAAAACATAATTTTTAAATATATTACTTCTTAGCATTTCCCGTCTTACGAGCTGTATATTAGAGATTTATTACTTAACTATATATAGAAACAGCTTATATGCGAATGCATGTAATTTTCAATCGTTTGCAAGCGCATAATTTTTCATTAGTAAATATTATGATGATAATATGTATTGTTATGTATTATCTATGTATTATTTAATTATGTATTATGACTAGTATTGTTCAACTATATTGACCTGACAATTCATTTTCTTTCTTAAAGGTCATTGGATAAACACCGATATATTTGTTTCTATAACGCGTCATTGAGATGTATTGAATAGATGCCGGGCTAAAATTCTGAAGGTTTCAGGTGATCACCAACCCTAAACTTATGATTGTTAGTTCATTAAACTAAGAAAAGGTACAACGTTAAAGAAAGTGTCAAGGTCTAAATTAAACGGTATTATAATGTTACCCAAGTTTATCCAATGTATCCTTGTCGATAACTCCTTTCACATTGTAAATGAAAGTACTACATATCAGTGTTGTGATGCACAGTAACTTATAGTCGTTATCTTGGTTTTTCTGCAAAAATAATTTAAATTCTTATAATAAAATTGGTAAATTTCAGAAGTCATTCAAAATAAAACGCTACTCTTACCAGCCATTTTGCATTTTGTTTTTTGATTTACGAAGTACATGTAATTGTCGCCGAGGCGCCAGACGTCCCTCTTAAGTCTAGGGCACTGGACCGTCTCAACGGTAGAGTTTCGTATATCTGGGGTCAGGGGATGAGGGATCAAAACAACTTCCGGCTGTAGCAAAATATATTCCTTTTATTATACACATGTAATCAATTTAAATGATTTAAGTTAAGGTTATATAAACCAAACGTACACATACAATCTTATTTTCTTTCAAAATATATTGTTTAATTGACCCTATTGGTCAAACTTATATACGTCATAGAAAATCATTTAAATAACAAAGGAATAGTAAAGAGGAAAGGAAAAAAGATAGTATTATTGTAAATCACGTTAAGTAGTCGATTTACAATGTTACGGCATACTGCTGAAATTTAGAGTATTAGTATAATGGGGATATAATTTGTACACCTGTAACATATATGTTGTGAAAACACGGAAAGTGAGAAGACAATTACAAATTATTCAGTGATAAAAAAAAGAAAGTTGTGAAAGACACTGACAGTGATTTGTTTGTAATCAACCAAGTGAAATGAGAACAGCTTAAGTGCACATACTTGCTTAACCTTCAAAGCTTAAGGTGAAGACATAGAACAAATAAAAATATATTTGGTGAAAAGGAAGGATAATCAGATAATGGCTGAAGGAAATTTACCGATGAGATTGAGAGAAGGTACAAAAGAAACATCTCTACAAAGTGAAAATCTTCTTAGAAAACGGGAAACTGAAAAAAAAAAAAACAGTTAGAATAACTTGAGCAACAGATAAAAGAAGAGGAACTCAAACGTTGAAAATATCAATTTGATATAATGAGATCTAGAAGGGGGACATCAAATACCGAACACACTAATGTACTTGATTTTGCATCAAATGAAAATGAACGGAATGTTCTAAATACATCTAGAAATCAGTTCAGAAACTTAAAGGGACTCTACTGAGGTTTTTTGACATGACGGGACTGGAAATAATTTTTTGAGATTATTACTCCATCTGATGTAGATCTATACTAATAACTTATGTGCAAAATTTCAGATCATTAGCTTGCTCCGTTTTTCCAGAATAATTAATATAATAGTGAAAAATGATCCAAAATTGAAAAGCGTAATGGCTGAAGGAAATTTACCGATGAGATTGAGAGAAGGTACAAAAGAAACATCTCGACAAAGTGAAAATCTTCTTAGAAAACGGGAAACTGAAAAAAAACAGTTAGAATAACTTGAGCAACAGATAAAAGAAGAGGAACTCAAACGTTGAAAATATCAATTTGATATAATGAGATCTACAAGGGGGACATCAAATACCGAACACACTAATGTACTTGATTTTGCATCAAATGAAAATGAACGGAATGTTCTAAATACATCTAGAAATCAGTTCAGAAACTTAAAGGGACTCTACTGAGGTTTTTTGACATGACGGGACTGGAAATAATTTTTTGAGATTATTACTCCATCTGATGTAGATCTATACTAATAACTTATGTGCAAAATTTCAGATCATTAGCTTGCTCCGTTTTTCCAGAATAATTATTATAATAGTGAAAAATGATCCAAAATTGAAAAGCGTTTAAACGCTTTTCACTCAAATCGGACTGAGGATAGCAAAAAAAAAACAAATGATTTTCAATGTATTTCTTCTATATTTTTGGTTATATTTTATTACTATTTATGTTTTAAGTGCTAATGTTTATCTTCGTGAAAAATTAAAATTGCATGTTTTTAGGCTTATAAACCTCAGTGGAGTTCCTTTAATAGTGATGTTCATCATAGTATGTCGTCAATAGAACAAACTGGTGCACACAAACAGAACGAACATGAATATGATCCTACAGATATAATACTAAATGCATCTGGTGTTGAATTTTTAAACCAAGTAGATGGTATAGATGCAAGAATTTCATTACATAGAAATGAAAACTATCATACTCCAGATAGGATAAGCTCTGATATAAGTCAGAGGCGGAAAGTACATACAGACATTCTTAAAGAGAGAAAAGAACGTTTAGATAGAGACAAAGGACAATCAAAGAGTTTTGATACAGTGATTAAACATGGTGGCAATGAGGATTGGCTCAAACCACGAGTGGTATATCAAACACCAACGTATTCAGAAAAACAAATAAACAAGCGCATAGATACAACCAAAGGAACGAAGGAGTATAAAGATGCGGAGAATTATAGTTTGCCAATGAAAAGTGGAAGAAATAGACGTGTATCCGATTTAGAATGTATGTTTGAAACCAAAGAAGAGAGGAGTTTAACATCTGAATTTATGGAAGAAGAGGAAAGAAAATTGTCTTTGATCACAGATAGAAGGAAGGAGTTGCAAGAAATGATAGAAATTGAAAGATTACAACAACTGAAGATAGAACAAGAGAAACAGAGAAAAATGGAAGAAATCAGAGAACAGGAAAGGGTTTTAGAACAATACGAATTGAGGAGCAGAGAGTTACAATTACGTGAAAACAAATTAAAAGATTATGAGAAGATGATAGATTCAAAGATGGAACGATTGCATCTTATTAGTGATACATTAGACAAAGAAAATATGGAACACAAAAGAGAAAATGATGTATCTGAAACTCTTAAGAAGAAATATGAAGAGATCAGAAGAAGGGAGATGGCTATTGCAAAGAAGGAAAAAGTGTTAGAACAGAAAGATTATTTGCTGAAAAAGAGAATAAACTTACTGAAAGATTGGCAATATGAAGAAAGAGAAACAGAAAGAGTTCAACAAAAATATGAATCGGACATTCATGATATGATGAATGATTACTTAGAGGAAGGATTTCATACATTACCACGGCAAAGCAGTAATGAGATACATACATTTGGACCAAAGTTAATCATCAGCCAATTTTCAGGGTCAGATCCGAAACCAAGATCCGAATCTTCGTTAGAAGAATGGAAAAGAGAAATTGAGAGCATCATTGCAACAAAATTGTACAAAGAACATGTAGTTGCTCAAGCTATTAGACAATCGTTAAGAGGTCAAGCGAAGAAAGTGCTGATAAATCTAAGTCCTGTGGCTACACTAATTGATATTGTGTCTCGAGTTGAAGATTTCTTTGGCGATCTTTCAAGTCAGCAAATTATATTCACTGAATTTTACACAGCTGAACGGAAACCAGAGGAATCAGTTGCAGACTGGGGTCTTCGTCTGGAAGAAATTCTTCTGTTAGCATCAACAAAAAGGTTCATTCCTGAAAAAGACAGAAAAGAAATGTTAAAAGATAAATTTTGGAGATCTTTATATAATATAGACATTAAATATGCAACTCGTACTAGTTTTGAGAGCAGCGACTCATTTGAAGTGTTAAGGAGAAAAGCTAGAGCTGAGGAGAATGAAATAAAGGTTACAAAACAGAGACGACAAACTGTTCAGCATAATCAAATGTCAACTGTAGAAAAGGACAATAAAGAAGACATTATTAAACAACTTATGAAGAAAATGGAAAACTTAGAAAGGCATTTAGAGGAAGTAAAGAGAGAAAAAGAGAAACCTAGTAGATACGATTCTAGTAACCAATAAAGTTATGGAGGTAGAGGACAATACAACTTTAGAAGGACAAATAATTACAACAATGTGGGAAGAGGATATGGATTCAGATACAATAGTAGATACAATGGTAGTGTTGGACAAAACAGAAGGAATGAAATGGACATAAATTCAAGAAAAGAAACAAATGAGAAAGATCTGAAAATACAACCTGATGTAGCCAAGAAAAATGTTAAAGAGGATTTAAAAGATTAGATGTCTCCATTGAAGGGCAAATGAGAGACAGTAAAATAAAAAGCCCTAACAAACCAAAGAACATATTTGAAAGATTAGTTGGATGTCCAAATGAGTCAATAATGTAAAATCAAATTGTATTTGTGACACGGGATCTATGATTACGGCAGTTAGTGAGGAGTTCTACAACAATTTAGATCCGAAACCAGAATTGCATCGAGTTACGGATTTTGTTATAAACATGCCTGATGGAAATTCATTGCCATATTCCGGATTCATTGAATCCTCTGTTAAAATACCTGGCTTATCGGACTTGGATTTAAATATCCCAATTTTAGTCGTACCGAATACGGAGTACAACTTGAGTGTTCCAATAATCATCGGCACAAATGTTTTAAGATTCCTCTCTGAACAGTCGTCTAATGAATCTCTTCCACAACCTTGGAGGACCGCTATTTGCAATCTTGTTGGCTCACCTGTAGTTGACAAAGTTTAAGCTTACAATAAGAAGGGTATAGTTTTAGAACCATTCCAGTCGAAAGTTATTACAGGTTTCATCAGACAGAAATTCGACTTAAATACTGTTGTCACAGAAACATCTGAGGAATCCTCATCCAGAATTGGTATATGTCCAAGAGTCGTTGAAGTCAATGGATCAGGAATTCGATCAAAAATACCAGTAAAATGCTTCAATCTATCTGCAAAACAAGTGACGATTAAACCTAAGTCTATACTTTGTAATCTGCAAGAAGTAAAAGTCCTTCGTAACTGGGAATCAACAGACAATGATGATACTGAAACAACAGACAATGATTTTATTGAACAATCAGAAAAGACAAATGATACACAAACAGAACAAAGTGAAATAGACAAGTTTACAAATACATGTAGTTTGAAAGTTGATCTATCAAATATTCCTGAGACCTACTGTCAACAAGTCAAGACCATTTTCCATTAATGGAAAGATGTTTATTCTACAGGACCTCTTGATATAGGAAGAACAGATTTAGTAGATACATCTAGAAGATCCAAAACCCTTTAAAGAACCATATAGACCCATTCCACCTGGTCTCATTAATGAAGTTAAAGAACATATTCGTGATATGCTTGAGATACGAGCAATTCGCCCTTCAAACAGTTCATACTCATCGAACGTTGTAATTGTTAGAAAGAAAGATGGTGAAATAAGATTTTGCATAGACTATAGAAAACTCAACAATAAAACAAGAAAAGACGCATATGCCCTTCCTTGAATAAACGACACTCTTCATCTTCATACTGGATCAAAATATTTTTCTAAACTCGACCTCAAAAGTGGTTATTGGCAGGTGGAACTTCGGGAGGAAGACAAATGTAAAACTGCATTCCAAGCGGGAAATTCAGGATTCTTTGAAGCCAAACGTTTCAAAGACTTATGGAAAGATGCATGGGAGATATGAATTTACAACAATGTCTTATATATCTCGATGACATTATCATATTCAGCCCAACCTTTGAAAAACATTTAGAGAGTCTCGAAGCTGTGTTCCAACGTTTGAAGACCAATAATCTTAAACTTAAAGCCTCCAAATGTGAATTCTTCAAAGATCAAGTCATTTATTTGGGTCATCTTATATCTGACAAAGGCATCGGTACAGATCCTGAAAAAGTTACTACAGTAGAAAATTGGCCAACACCCACCACAGTGAAACAAGTTAGAAGTTTTCTTGGATTCGCCGGTTATTACCGAAAATTTATTAAGGGATTCGCTAAAATAGTAAGACCACTGAATGACCTTCTCATTGGAGACAATCTCAAGAAGAAGAAAATAAAACCAACTGTTAAAAAGAAGTTTGCTCATTGGAGACAATCTCAAGAAGAAGAAAATAAAACCAACTGTTAAAAAGAAGTTTGAATGGGGTCCAAGTCAACAACAAGCACTCACAACAATTAAGCAAAAACTTATTACTGCTCCAATGTTGGCATATGCAGACTACTACAAACCTTTTAAGCTTCACACGGACGCATCGGGACTAGGGCTTGAAGCTATTTTTATATCAAGAAGTTGATGGAATCGACCGTGTTTGTTGCTTATGCAAGTCGGAGCCTAAAAACATCTGAAAAGAACTATTCTGCACACCAAATTAGAATTCCTGGCATTGAATTGGGCAGTTACAGAGAAGTTCCACGACTACCTTACGGATCACAATGTTTTCGTGACTACAGACAACAATGCATTAACTTATGCCCAAACTTCCGCAAAGCTTGATGCAACCGGCCAACGCTGGATTGCGAGTTTTGCCAACTACAACCTGAAAATAGAATATAGAAGTGGTAAGAAAAATATCGACGCTGACGCTTTGTCTCGAATAGAACCATCAAATCAAACGGTTAACCCCGATACAATAAAAGCAATGACAATGGCTGCTCAAGTCCAGATTCCACTTGTTGAAACTATTTGCAATCCTGATGCCGAGATACAACCAGAACTCATACCAGATATTCCTGACGACTTGATTATGTCAGTTAGTCTCTCAAATATGGACTGGTATAAAGTACAACATGAAGACCGCATTATAGCTGGAGTTATAAGTAATCTAAAGAATGGAACCAAACAGGCTTCTTCGACCTATGGTTCCGAGGCTAATATAATCTCTGGATATCTTCGTGAATGGTCCAAGCTTGTCTTTCAACAAGGCGTTCTTTATAGAAGAACAACTGTTTCCGGTTTTTCTCGCCTTCAACTTGTGTTACCTTCAAAATTAAGAGAAGATGTATTTCATGCAATTCATACAGACTTAGGACATCAAGGACAAGACAGAACACTATCATTATTTAGAGAACGCTTCTTCTGGCCAGGAATGGAATCATTTGTTGTGTCAAAAGTAAGATCATGTGACCGATGCATCAAAAGAAAAGCCCGAAACAGCAAAGCAGAATTGGTAAACATATCATCTCCCTTTCCTATGGACATACTATGCATTGATTATCTTTCATTGGAACGTTCAAAAGGTGGCTTCGATAATATTTTAGTGATGACCGACCATTTCAGCAAGATACGCACTTGCATTTCCAACAACGAAACCAAACAGCAAAAACCCTACAGCAAAAAATTATTTTTTGACCAAGTTATTTTTCACTATGGGGTTTTCCAGCCCGTCTCCATAGTGACCAGGGACAATCTTTTTGAGGCAAATATAATCAAGGCAATTGTGTGCAATTGCTGGTATTGACAAATCAAGAACAACACCATATCATCCTCAAGGCAATCCCGTGGAACGTTTTAACTCAACACTTTTTAAAAAAATGCTAGGTACTCTTGAAGATAACCAGAAAAGCAATTGGAAGAGAACACGTCTTGCAAACATTAGTTCATTGCGGTATAATTGCACCAACATGATAGCACTGGGCTTTCACCATACTTTCTAATGTTTGGCCCGTCATCCTAGACTTGCAATTGATGCCTTTCTTGGACTACCAATAGACAATGAAAAATTCTCAATCTCTCATTCGGATATGTTCATTCAGCTGAGAGATCGTCTCTTGAATGCATACACCATCTCAAGAAAATGTTCAGAGAATGTTGGTAAAAACAATAAAAAGTATTATGACATTAAACAAGACATCTGAAATTAGTTCCTGGAGATAGGGTATTGGTCCGAAATGTGTCTATCAGAGGAAACAATAAGCTAGCTGATGAATGGGAACACCATCCATATATTATTATAAGCCAACCAAATGCTGACATACCCGTTTACAAAGTAAAACAAGAAGGAAATAGATTTAGAAAAATAAGGACATTACATAGAAATCTTTTATTGCCATTTATGAGCACAACAGATCTTAACAGTGATATAGTAAAGGATAAGACAAAAGTTGCTGAAAATACTGAAACTGAAAAGAGTGAAAATATCAATAATATCAATCTGAACAAGAAGTTCCAAAAACAAATACAAATAATAAAGATGTATCTTACCTGAATGCAACTTTGGAACAAGAAATGGATTCATCTTTCATGAATTCTGATGAAAAAACAATTGAAAAATATGTTATTCCTCAACGAAGGAAACAGAGAAATATGTCTGGAGAATCAGATGTGAATAATGATTCTGGTTCAGAAACAAATGATCCAATGCGTAAAACAAAACAAAATATAACAAAGCCTCGGATGATGAGAAGTGATGACTGGATTATTGGATAGTGTGTATTAATGATAGTTTATGATGAAACAATGTGACTTGACGTTCAGGTGTTTACAATGATCAGTTATAATTAAAACATTAAAGATGATATGAACAATATATCATTAGCATACCACTACATTATACACTCAGTATCATATCATTATTATTTATACTTGTATCGTGTCATATTACGGGCGTCGAATCATTAACATTTTCGTCACGATAAAATGTTATTAGTATTTTGATGTTTCAACTATTTTACTTTTCTTTAAGTTGCGAGATTACCTTATTGCGAGATTACCTTATTGCGGAAAGAGATTGTTTTGTTTTTTTCTCGGCGGAAACATTTCGTTCTTCTGCGTACCATTAGTAAATGTTGGGGACAACATTTAATCGGGAGGGGGCAAATATGTCACAGGTGTACAAATTATATCTCCAATATACTAATACTCTAAAATTTCAGCAGTATGCCGTAACATTGTAAATCGACTACTCAACGTGATTTACAATAACACTATCTTTTTACCTTTCCTCTTTACTATTCCTTTGTTATTTAAATGATTTTCTATGACGTATATAAGTTTGACCAATAGGGTCAATTAAACAATATATTTTGAAAGAAAATAAGATTGTATTGTGTACGTTTGGTTTATATAACCTTAACTTAAATCATTTAAATTGATTACATGTGTATAATAAAAGGAATATATTTTGCTACAGGTAATTCTCTTCATATGTTGCATTTGTAAATTGCGTACATCTAATGTTAATAGACTTATATTATTTGAGTTCTAATATCATTTCTTAGAATATATTTTTCTTTGTGTAATATGATGTCGGCCATTTTGTACATGTATGTTTACATTATTTAAATGCAATAAAATTAAACAATATATTTTGAAAGAAAATAAGATTGTATTGTGTACGTTTGGTTTATATAACCTTAACTTAAATCATTTAAATTGATTACATGTGTATAATAAAAGGAATATATTTTGCTACAGCCGGAAGTTGTTTTGATCCGTCATCCCCTGGCCCAACTTATATGAAACTCTATCGTTGAGACGGTCCAGTGCCCTAGACCAAAGAGGGAGATCTGGCGCCTCGGCGACATAATTAATACCAATTTAAAGAATTTAAAGATAAGAAAAAAACATTAATTTTAAATATCTGAAGAAAGAGTGATCCCACAGGAGCATCAATCACAACAACAATACATGAAAAGTGCAGACTCTTTTGATGAAGATAACGAAAAAGTACAACATCCTTCATGCCCTCTAGCACCGGCTTGAGCGGTTCTCAAATTCAACACTTAAAAGTGCTGGATTCAATTATCCCGAATGTCCATAAAATAATACGACACTGAAAGTTGATACTTGCAGGTATTTCAAGCAGAATTGTTATAGACCAGTTTCTTAAATAAAATTATTCTTACTAAAACAATTTCACAAAAGATAAATATGTTAAGTAGCACTCAAAATATTGCTAAACGGTTTGAGCTTAAATGTCAGTTCAAAATAAAACTTGATATATGGTAAAGCAATGCAAACTAGAAGGGGTTTTGTCACAAAAACATATGTTTCCCAAAACTATGTATGGTCACTCATATGAAGTTGCATTGAAATCCAAACAGTAGGTTGACCTGTGAAAGCCAAACATCTTTTTTCTATTTATAGCTCTGACGGCCATTTTGTGCGGAAAAGCGTGATATACCGGTAACGTGCACAACTAGGGATGGTACTTATCCCTCCTGTAAAGTTTGGTTGAAATACAAACAGTAGCTTGACCTGTGAAGGCCAGCCAATATGTTTTATTTATAGCTCTGACGGCCATTTTGTGCAGCCAAGCGTAACGTGTCCATGATGTGTACAACTAAGGATGGTACTGATCACTCCTGTAAAGTTTGGTTGAATCCCACCAGTAGTTTGACCTGCGAAGGGCCGACAAGATTTTTCTATTTAAAGCTCTGGTGGCCATTTTGTGTAGCCAAGCGGAACGTGCCGGTGACGTGCACAACTAGGGATGATACTGATCACTCCTGTAAAGATTGGTTGAAATCCCACCAGAAGTTTGACCTTTGAAGGCCGGACAAGATTTTCTTTTAGCTTTGGTGGCCATTTTGTGCAGCGAAGCGAAACGTGCCGGTGACGTGCACAACTAGGGATGGTACTGATCACTTCTGTAAAGTTTGGTTGAAATCCCACCAGTAGTTTCACCTGTAAGGGCCGGACAATACTTTTCTATTTTGAGCTCTGTTGGCCATTTTGTGCAGCGAGGCGGAACGTGCCGGTGATGTACACAACACTGATCACTCCTGTAAAGTTTGGTTGCAATCCCACCAAAAGTTTGACCTGTGAAGGGCGGACAAGCTTAATGCGGATGGACGGACAACGGACGAACAACAGGACGGACGAACAGACGGACAGTCAGACGGCGAAGGCAAAAACAATATGTCACCCAAAAATTTTGGGAGGCATAATTGTTGGTAAGTTTGTTTCTTTGCAAAGAAGGATGCGAGAAGTGATTTTACAGTTGTGGAAGATTTGTTTTAATGTTCAAATGGCGGAAAAGTAAGATTGTTTGAATTGCATCTGTGAACATAAGCAATTTCAAAATGGCTAATTTCGCCAGTCTCCGGATAAGTTCTTCTTATGAATATTCGGCAAGATGTTCCGAAGTTAAAGGCCCATTTTCCCTCAGAAATGCTATAATTTTTATTTCTCAATATCTTTTTACAATAACTTTTTACTTTTTGGTATTTTGTTTCAGTTTCATTTAGGAATACTCATATGCATATAGATGAATTATCGTTGCTCCTTTTGTTTTGTTGGCAATTGGTATAATTATAGTGAACTAGTTTTTTGTATGGAAGTCAAAATATTTATTTTGTTTACATTTTGCTACAATTACGACACATTACTGCGCTTTTAGCGCTACTTTTCTCAGCTGTTAAATATCTTACATTCTCTAAATCAATTATCAAATCATTATTAACACATTTTTCACATTTCTAAAGAATTTAATGAATATAGATTTCTGAGGAATAACGTGCCTTTTAAGGAAAAGCAAATTTTCGGTACACGGTTTGCTCGGTCATATAATGGTGCTTGGTTGTTTTGTAACTATAGTGTCTACTGTTACACATGAAGGCTTTTCAGAAAACAATAATCAATTTATTCAGTTTAAAAGATCAGAAACGAAAGTCGATGTGAAAGATATACTATGCTCATCCTTGCATGAAATATTTTATCACAGACACTTATTGAAAGCAAAGGGACCCGGCACAGTGTTGGGATAGTGTAAAAAAAAGTAATTTTAGAAAAAAATATATAGTTTATATGTAATAGTCTATATATTATATATAAACTATATTTTTTTTCTTCTAGAATTACTTTTTACACTATCCAAACACTGTGCCGGGTCCCTTTGATTGAAAGCTATGTAATTCTTACCAATTTGAATAAAAGAAAGAATAAATTATGTATTAGAAGTTGCTTTCCCATGTAAAATTGGTATTTAGCGTGTAGAATCTTAAACACAACATATCTACTTTGTGTGAAGTTAAACATGTTTATTTTATATCTACAAAGAGACTGTGTAGCAATTATAGATATTTTCAAATATGAAATTTGAGAATAGTTTATCTTTAATTTTTTGATGAAGTAAAGTCGTGTTTTGATTTGGAACATGCGCATAAATAATTTTGGAGACTGGTTCTAATGAGTTTAGACTTTAAATGGAATTTTAACTTAAATTTGATCCCAAAAAAAATTATGCCACCAGCTATCATTCTCAGCTCTGTGGAGAGGTCTCCAATCACAAGTATACAGAAGCGACAAAACATTTTACTCTTAAAGAATTACAAACATGGTTACGATATCTTTTAAAATATTTAAGTAGTTTTGAATCAAACGTTTATATATTATATAATCTTGTAACGAATATTTAAAACAACAAATAAACTAAACTAACGTTCTGTATAAAAAGCTAAATAATAATTTCGATTATAAATAATTTACAAAATAAACGCATTGTTGCAAGTAGGAGCCCCAACATAGGAAAAACGGGCAATCCACATTTTGTGCTTTCATCGACTTCAAAAAAGCTTTTGATTCCATTAACAGAAATTTACTTTGGCAGAAGCTCATTGATATTGGTTTGTCTACAAAAATGTTGACTGCTGTAAAATCCTTGTATCAAAATGTATCTTCTTGTGTACGTATACATGGATATTTTACAGACTGGTTTGATGTTCTTTGTCCTCAATATTATTCAACATTTTTATTAACGACTTTGCTGTGGGCGCTAAAAATTTGAGCAATGGAATAGTTATTGAAAATGAGCGCATTTGTATACTTTTATATGCAGATGATATTGTGTTACTTGCAGAAAATGAAACCGAATTGCTAAATATGTTAGCCTTCTAAAATGATTGGTGTATTGCAAATGGAATGTTTGTGAATGCTTCAACATTCAGATTTCATTTTAAGTGTGGTAATTCTGTTGTAGAGTTTTTAATAAGTATATGTATCTTGGTATTTATTAACAGAACATCTTGATAATAATATCACTGCAAAAACACTAGCACAAAGTGCTGGTCGTGCCTTGGGGCTTCTTATTGCTAAATACAAAAGTCAAGGTGGTATACCCCATCCCCCCCCCACAAAAAAAAAGCGATTTAATAATAGATTTTCGCATACTTTACATAAAATATATTTCCAAACAAATACTTTATAATTTAACATTGTTTTCAAAAACTTGTGAACATACTGTATATTGTATATACTGTGTATATTTCCTATGCTAAATAGTTATAATCAAAGTTTTTATCTGTTGAAAGATAAAAACTTAACAATGATTCGCGAACATTTAAAAATTTAGCAAATTTGGACTAACCGACAAAATGGTTTCTAATCTAATACCAATATGGTTCACGAATTTTAATTTACAAATATATTAGTAAATAAAAATAGGCTAATTAACATATGAAAGTTTACTGAGAATTCGGTATGATAATAGATCTTATTTATGATTTGAAAAAAATGACTTCATCTATTACATAATATCAACAGCCTATTTTTAAATACATAACAATTTTGACGAACGCTGATGAAACTATATAAAAATAAGGAAACACGTATGATTTAAATGATCCTTAAATAAACATTTTTAAAATTGTTGGGAATATTAAGCCCCATCTTGTATTTATGGAAGGTGCAATCAGCTGAAGTGCGCGACAACATAACGGGAAATTTACGAATTTGCAGTTGGTAACTTATTTTCTTACTATTTAAAGTTCAAAATATGTATTTTGCTACAATAAGCTAAAGGTCATGATTGAATAGCATGCCGGAGATTAAAAAAAATATCGAAGGTTGAGGCTTCTGGTAAACTAATGTTCTTAAACCTTGTCTGGATCTCCGATTCCTTCAGTATCGAGTAGAACCATCACTTGATCTGTATAGACAGGATGTTTCAAACACCACACCCAAATACCTTTGGTTTTCGCATCCACTCCATTTCCAAGAGTAAATCCTGTAAAAGAAAATTTATGTTTGGTTTTAAAAAGACAGTTAAGGCCATGTGTTAAATTACAGCTTGAAAGTGTGAATAAATATCAAATTTGTCTTCGTGCTTCATTTTAGGAAACAATTTCATTTGAATAGAATCGTCCATACCTACGCAATGTATTTTTATCCCTCACAAATACAAAGCATTTCCTGGCAACATATATAAATCTTGATTATTTAATAATGAATGAATTACTTAATGTCCTGATGAAAACATTCACTGCAAATAAAAATTTTGTAAAATTTCATGGTACCATGTTTATTCTTCGCTAATCTGTTCATCAAGTAGGATTTGCCAGTTCTGCATGGTCCAGTAATCGCAATCACATTCACTGTTCTATTGATCTGTGAAATCTGCTTCAAGACATTTTCATCAATTGAAAAACTACCATTTACTTCGTTTTTAACAAGACATAGTGGTTTCTGAAACACAGGAAGTGATGTAAACTTGTCCCTGAAAATAAAAGGATAATGCTAACACACAATTTAATGTATAAAATTTAAAAGTATCATGAAAAAAGTTCACTGCCTGTACATTGGTAAATTACTTTTTTTTATTAAAACACTATCATGGTATGGGAACCAACGATATCGTCTACTTGATATTGTGATGTGACTGACACGGGATTAAATGTATTGGAAATTTAATTTCTCTCGCTAATTACCTGTTAACATGTTGTGGATATTTGAGACGACTGATTTCGTGCGGAATTAGTTTGTATGCATTGCAGAATTCTTTTGCAAACTTAATTAGCACTCTGTTTCTAGGTATTTTATCGAAATTTCATTTACACATACCATACTTATAGATAAATTTAATATATTGGCGTTTGTTTCCAACTGAACATCAAACATTGGCACAGCAGCTCTGGTGTGACGACAAAGCTCATTAATTGACTAGGTTGACTCAGATCCAAAAATCAAAGTATTTTGTCTCACCCGCTTCTAGTAGATAGACTTTTTTCACTTTATACATAACAACATAGGATAATTTATTTTATTTTATGCTTTTCAGTGGATTACTGATTTATCCGTGAAAATTATATTTGGTAATTTCACAGTGAAAATTATCAAAATATAATTTCACTTTTTTCAATGACGAAACTACTTTTTTAAGATTTTCCCCATGTGGTACCTCAATTTTATTTTTGCTGACAATTGAGACAATGTCAGGCTGTTTAAAGAAAAAGGAAAGCTGAAATTGATAAATACCTTAAACGTAAAAAGTAATAAAAAGAAGAAAACTTACTTCTATTCATTCAAATTCCAATCACCAAATTTCGTCTCTAAATTTTTTGTTTCATTTTTACAGTCTGAAAAATACATTCCTTCCACATGCAAACTGCTCTTGATGACATTTGGGCATATTAAAGTATCCTACGAGTAATAACTGCCGTATGCTTTATGAAAAATTGAAAAGCAATGACAGCTACAGCTCGTAGAACAAGAAAACCAACCCAGCGTTCCGAGCAAGTTCCAAGTCTTCCATTTTCATAGCTGCTTTTTTCATGTTTTCACATCTGTCAACACTTAATTTTTGTCTGTTTCAATCCTCAAATATGTTTTCTTTCTTTTAAAAGGGTCTATGACTAACAATTCCAAATGATATCCCTCTGAATCAAACACAAATTATTTTCCTCCCGTGAAATACACAACTTTAAAAAATGGCTGCCGCTTACATTTAACAAAGCCAGGTCTAATATAAATTCGCAGTACGTAACAGAAATATGGATGGATGGTTGGAATTTTCTCCTTCACGAATTGTTTGTTTTTATTATTAAAACAAGCGATCATTCATATTTTTTAAACAAAATAAATAATATCACTGTCATTTAATGTTGATTGTCGGACTTATTTTTCAGCTCAAGACTTCTTGTTTTTAATGAGAAATTCGCACGAAATGGGGCTCTCAATGGGGAAACAGATTTTAATATTTATGTTAATATTATGGAAATTTCGATTAAACTTTTTTTACTTTTTTTAGCATAAAATAAAAAGAAAATTTGTTTGTTTGTTGTGTAAGATGTAATTTTATTTCATCTCGTGAACTTTAAAAACAGTATTCTCACTCGTGGCTACGCCACTCGTGAGAATACTGTTTTTAAAGCCCACTCGATGAAATAAAATTTCATCTTACACACAAACAAACAAATATCCTCTAAATATTGCAAACACAACGTCTTTCTGACTTCAGTTCGGCTTTAAAGTCAAAGTGATTGCTGTTGACCTTCAAGCAAAGTATCCGGCAAAACTGGTAGATATATGACTAAATTGGACACCCTTACGATCATTTCTACAGAGTTAAATCAAATTCTACCAAGCTGTAGAAGAAATTGTTTCATTTTAGCTTTAGTCACTGTTGTACAGCGTCCACCGGATATAGCCCCTCAAAACTCCGAAAACGAAAGTAAAAAGGTTTACGTCGAGTTCACCCAAGGTAATGTTTCAACTTATTTCGCCATCATAACTCCATCAATTTTTCCAAACTTAACAATTTTGTGAAGCTACATATGTCAGGGTTTAGGGCAGTATTTGATTTGTTCTGCAAATAAATACTTTTTGTTAAAACAACGATAAATTGTACCGTTTTTGTTGACATTTGCGAACGATGTTGATATTTACCTGTAAATCGGGTCCAAAAGGCATTTGTTGTATCAAAATCCATAATTAATATAAAATATAGGCTTCCTTCTACTTGTATTAGAGTGGTCACCCCTCAAATCGAGCTGCTTTTAGTAAAATTTGCGAAAAAAGACATTGCCTAGTGTACAGAGTCTAGCACGGTTTTGTACGGGGTGTAGATGGAAAACTGTTAGCTGTACGAGGTGAAGTAGGTAAACGACTGCTATATTTTCTTTGCAAAAAAACAACTAAATAAAGTACCAGAGCACGATCGATGCCGGGGCAGAGATCGAAAAGTGAAACATTTTATCATTTTAAAAAGGATAAAAAATGTTAAATTACATAAGAAATATTATACGTTATAAAGTTATTTGCTAGCCTCCTCATATGAAAAATAACAAAAAAATTTATAAAATAATATATGAATTGACTATATTTGTTTTGATCTAAATAATTTTTTTTTGTAAGAAAGCAAGTGGCTACCTAGAATGGCACATTCTCATGTTATAGTATGAATCTAAGTAATTATTGAAGTTAACAATCAATATCTTGTGTCTTCGAATGACTGTCAGCTCATAAAGACTATAAAAATTAAAAATATGTGACTGCTATACACCGTAACATTCTACTAAACCCTGTACATTAAATTTCTACACCCCGTTCACTTAAATTTGTATTTCTTGCTAGACTCTGTACACAAGGAAAGACTGTTTTTCGCAAATTTTGATGAAAGCAGCCCGAGTTGATGGATGACCACTTAAATACAAGTAGAAGGAAGTTTATATTGTATATTAAACACGGATTTGGGTACAATAAATGCCTCTTGGACCCGATTTACAGGTAAATATCAACATCGTTCAAAAATGTCAACAAAAACGGCACACTTTATCGCCGATTTAACAAAAAGTATTCAATTTGCAGAAAAAAGCAAATACTGCCCTAAACCCTGACATATTTAGCTCCACAAAAGTGTTTAGTTTGGAAAAATCGATGAAGTAATAATGGAGAAATAAGTTGAAACATTACCTTGGGTGAACTCGACGTAAACCTTTTTACTTTCGTTTTCGAAGTTTTTAGGGGCTATATCCGGTGGACGCTGTACAACAGTGCCAATGACCAACTTGTTTAACAGATTAAGACCATTTTAGAATTTCTGTAAATGACGACTCATGATCATTGCGGTTCATTTATATCTAAAAATGGTTGAGGAGAAGATGTCGTTTAAAGATTTTCTCTCTATATATATATTAGCTCCAGCGGGCATCGGTTACCGAATGAATCCTTTGAGCAAATATTATAGAGATTCACATAAGGATTATTCCTGTTTAGTTTCAATACTATTGGCCAAGTGGTTTAGAAGATGTATAGGTTAAATATAGGCTAAATGTTAACACCAGATGCCAGACACAGGGAGATCGCAACAGCTCACCATGAATACAGTTTGCCCTGGTGAGCTTAAACAAGGTAAAGAATGTGTTTAAATATAAAATAGCAAGATTTGTTTTTAAATGACAATTGAAAATATTACACATGTGTTGGCATTCAATGTCTTGGTAAATTGTAGATTTACCAGAGAAAAGTAAAAAGTCGTGTTGTTCATTAAAATTACCAACGAATTTGGATAGGTAAGAGGGTAAGTTCTTAAGAAATTCATCAATAAAAACAAACAAAATCCGCGATTTTGTAGCACCCCATGGACTATGTCGACTGCAGTATTTGCAACATGACATAACGTTAAAATAAGCATGAATTTGCACAATTCAGCGTTATTTTTGCACAATTCCTGCATTATTTCAACATGTTAAATGCACGAGTTTCTCAACTTTATATATTTTCTTTTCTTTTGAGAACAATATAGCAATAACAGTAGGTCGGTATATAGTTGCAGACATGTTAAGCAGTCGGTAAGTTGTTTACATGTGTATTTAACTAAAGAGCCGGTAGGTAATTCCTAGTTATTCGGAATATTTCAACAACTCACACATGTTTGAGAACGGTTGAATAAATATACTGCACATCATTCGAAGAAATTTGAAAAAAGAGATGATAAATTGCCATATATTAGGTAATCAATCGTAATATCAATTACCTTTCTTCTGGAACCTCTTCAGACGTGTTGGTAACAGACACATTGTTCCGTGACCTGCAATAGATTCAACATTGCAATTTAAGATAAGAGAGTGCAAAATAAAGTAACTATTTCGAGGGGGACGAACCCGGTATTTTTATGTACAATTTGTTCATTTTTTTCTTTCTTTTTTTCATTTTGTGCAGCTTAAACCCGTGTCGGTCAATGTTAACAGCTGTTCAATCAACACGCACATGTTTGCTCTTATATTTTGTACGAAATACACCCGTAGGCAAAAATGGAAAGTTTGATATTGAGTTCAGAGCAGTCTCACTAAGGAGGCGACATACTTCAAAACAAAGCATGATGTACGAGTATATGATGTGACAATGTGGTGAGCAGAATTTAAACGCGAGCGAGACTCCATAGAAGATGGCCCAAAGCAAGCTCGCCCTGCTGCTGTTATCAGCCGGGAGATGATCGATCTTGTGTAGAGACTTGTGCTAAATAATCGCCAAATCAGTGATGAATCAGTTGACGAACTTGCTTCAGAATTTTGTATTTCTAATGAAACATGAACATTTAGGCATGTCAAAAGTATCTACCAGGTACTTTTTGCGACATGCTTGCAGGCAATTCTGACACAATGATAAAAATCTTGCCGAAAAAGTCTGTAAGTATAACAGGTAAAGAAGAAAAGAAAGAGTATGTAAATATGCAATAAAATCATCGTTGAAGTTCTATGTTAATACAAGTGAAGGTAACGACTAAAATGTGACGCGCTGAAAATAAGTACGGAAACAAATCAGGCATAATTAAGCTTGATATCAGGTACGGCTATGCCGTGTTAGAATCGAAATAATGTACCTCAAGCAGTGATTTTATCGCTTTATATAATCACGGTTTGGAGTTCGGATGCAAGGAATTATATCACGAGGGTGTAGACAAAAAGAGAGACATATAATATTAAGTTACAAAAGACAGGGAGACATAGGTATTTAATTGTAATAATATTCAAAACTGCGAATCGATGATATACAGATATCTATATTTTCAAAGACAGTCTTTCTTGCAAGCTAATTTTTGTATGGTATGTATTTGTCACATGAGAGTTGCGTCATGCTCTGATTCTGTGTTCGTAGGTTTCTAAAAATGAATTCTTAATTGTCTGCATTTAATAGACATCACAATAATTACTGTAATTCAGTTTAGAATTTGTTTAATATTGGCTGATTTTCTGCGTTTAATTGGTAAAGATTTCTTCTATTCGTGTTGTAGTTTTATTTTGATATTATTTCTTTTTTATTTTAGCATTCTTCGTATTACCATGTAAGCCAACTTAAAGACAAAGGTTTAAGGGAGAAAATATGAAGTAAATATACACTGAAGCCGCTGTTATATGGGCTGTGGAGTCGCCCCCACCCATTTACAGCCTTTATAGATTTCAAAAAAGCTTACGATTTTATCAATAGAGACATGCTCTGGATGCGTATTCAAGAGTCGGGCATTTCTGGTAAAATGCACCGAGCTATAAGCTCTCTATATTCATTTGTTTCGTCATCAGTACGAGTAAACTCACTGAACACTGACTGGTTCGAGGTTCGAACCGGTCTCCGGCATGCTTTTTAACTTATACATCAATGATTTGATCACATATTTGAAATCATTCAATGTAGGAATTGATATTGAAGGTGAAAACATTTGTATTTTATTATATGCCGACGACATTGTGTTGCTTGCTGAAAACTCAAATGATTTACAGTGTCTGTTAAATGCTCTTAATGACTGGTGCTCTGTAAATGATATGACTATTAATTGTGAAAAAAGCAAAGTTGTACATTTTAGACATGTCGCAATTACTAGATGTAATACAATTTTTACTTGTGGCAACGATATATTTGAAATTGTGGATAGATATAAATATTTAGGTCTAATTTTAACTGAACACTTGGACTTTAATATAACTGCTAAACATGTAGCTCAAAGTGCAGGAAGAGCCCTAGGTCTTGTTATAGCGAAATGCAAAAGTATAGGAGGCGTTCCATACGCTGTCTACCGAAACTTTATGATTCTATTTTGTGGCCCGTGATAAACTACGGTGCAGCGATTTGGGGTGACCGGTCTTTCTCATGTGTTAATGCCGTCCATAATCAAGGGGGAGAATCACGCCGTTCAAACTAAAGGTAAAATGTACAAACCAATGTAAAGGTACATATAACAACCTTCTGGCACACAGGATGTTATTTCATGATGTTTCGTCCCGTACTTCATCTGAAATGCGCGTCACCAGATTCGAAGCGAGAGAATTTTCCACCGGTTTGATCGTGGTAACGTACGGCTTTTTCTCTCAAATTCACTGTTTCTTTTACATATATGTATATTAACTGAAACCACTGACTTAAAAAAGTTGTAATATGTTGTCAAGTAAGCAATCATGCCAATTCTGGCTAGATTTACTGCTGTAAATATTAATATCGGGGCATTTTCCGGAAATGATAACGTATGGCGCACAAAATATCAATGATAACGTACGGCGCATTTTACTACTTGGTGGATTTCCATTTGTCCAATCAGCTGATAATGAATTATTTTTATGTAGGAAATGATAGATATCTGAAAAAAATGTTGGTCCGGTCAGAAATAATTAATTGAACAATGCTGTACTATCGGAAATAGCTGGAAAAAAATTTCTAGCTGGTGGCATAATATATATTCGTTGTTAATATACCAATTAAAACACACGTGTATAGTTTGAGAATATTTTGTATAAAATGCAGAATGGGAAGAAAAGTCTCAACTTTAAGGAAACATTTGTGTGTTGTTGTCTTTACATTAAATTTCGCCAGTGTTGTGCGATAATTATGGTCTTATCCCATAATTGGAAAGAAGAAACGCATTCAGCAGAGCAAAAATGTTAAAAAGGTACGGACGGCTTGATATATTTTCTTTTCCAAAGAAAAAGTCTAAAATCATTCCTAACAAATTTCTGATAAAGAAATCTTAATATTTGAACCCCTCAACATTTACAAAACGAAAATTGATTGCGACTAGCTTACACCCAGATGAGATGAGCCTGTGTTTATTCAATATGGTCGCTCATTGAAAGAAAAATACATAACAGAGAAAAATGAATGAATGTAGGTTCTATAATGAGTTTATTGAATGAGTTAGAAAATAATGTTATGCGAAAAACTTAATTGAATTTAGTAAATAAAAAAAATTATGTTTATTAGACGGGCGGTTAATATTCAAACGCTACCATTTAGCGTGACGTTGTGAGATATAATTACGCGACATAGCCTCAGATTTTTTTTTATTATAGTAGACAGTAGACATTTTATTTTATTCCATTTGGCTTTAGAGCCAATGAGGACATAAAACATGCATAATAACGAACAGTTCATATAAACATGTAACCCTTTCCATTATGAGCATATTGTGAAAAATGGCCGTTTTTTATTGAAAAGCCTCCTGTTACAAGTTCAAACTGCTATGAAACTTTGAAAAATGTTTCAATTCTAATCAAACTTGGCACAAATGTTGACAGGACCATTGCCTTTGTAACGACATGCTCAGTCTAAAATTTCCTGTTACCATGGCAACATGGGGACATCTCAAAATTGCAATTAATCACTATTTTGCCTTGAGTTTTTTCATCAAAATTTATTTCAAAGTGCTGCAACTTCTCAAGCGATTGAGATAGAGTCAAAGGCTTTTCAGCGTTGGTTACACGTTACCTTATGATCGACCTGGGGTCAGTTTTAGCCTCTCGCAAGTCCAAAATTTTCTTGGCGATGAGGGGGGACTACCGCCCCTCTTCAAACCCCCCAAACAGAAGGGGGCACATCCCCCTTCTGGCAACCCCCTGATATATCTTTTGGATGGGGGCGGCGCCGAAAAAGGGCTCACTTTTTTAGCAACGTTTCTCAAACGAAAACATGTGTTTGGGGTCCAAAAAGGACATTTTTTCACTGAGGCCTAAAAGGGGGGGGGGGTCGAAAGTGTGTTGTTTCGCGTATATATGAGGTAAAGAGGTAAATACCAGCCGAAATTTTCTGAAGGAGTAACATTATGAATATTTTCAAAATTGATCTTTAAACCAGTAACTTATAGGTCTCTTGTATTTACATATACATACACACGTATACATGTACATACATACAAAAAGCATACATTGCATGAGCTATTAATGCAAAATTGTTGTATAAAAATCGATTTTTAACACAGAAACGCAATTAACCGTTGTTTATACATATATCCTAAAAAAATGAAGGTCCCTTCGCATCAATTGCGGATTTCATAATTGTAAATAAAAGGAACGTCATAAGTTGATCAAAACAATTACATGCAAGAATTTGCCTACCATATTCTGGCGTTTTTTTCCACAAACGCCCCAACAAAAACAATAATTTCTTTAAAAAAAAGTATTGCAGGTATCAGCAATAAAAGAGTGACATTGGAATTTGCTTATTTATTTCTAGTGTTAATTATGAAGTTTCAAATCGTATTTGGATTTCGATGTTTTTTATCTATGCCGGGAACCCGTCTGAAACCTTTAATGCCAGACCGCTCATGTGCTTAAATGACGTCATTATCTTTATGGAAGAACGATTTTAAAAATTATTACGCTACTCTTAAACTATTGTTTACGAAGTATATGTAAGTGTTCATCCGTGTTGTTCTATTTCGACGGGGCGATAGCGACCGGAGAATATTTCTTATTTCTGTAGAACAGCTACGGATGAATACAAACCTACTTAGTGTCAAGCTTTATTTGGCTTCATTAGTATTAACTTTATTTCATCACTATACCTGTCCATTTGCACAAACGCGGTTCTATGAAGTACTATGAAAAATAAAAGGCTGATATGAACGGACTTTGATATATCATCGACTTTTGTTCTTCTATTCTATGAAAATTTACACATTTTTTTTTAAGAAATACAACGCTTTCATTGGATGACAAATAAAGTTGGACACTAATATTATCTATTTCAGTTTCTTAATTTGGTTCTACACATCCACTTATGTCTTGTAAACATAACTTTTCTACTATAAAGGAAATCAATTAATCA